GTGAGAAATACAAATTAATAGAGCACAATCAATTTGGTTATTGTGAGAAGATTTTGATATTGTGTATTGGGTTTCGAATCGATTTCAAAACTTTGTGTTTGGCTGTGTTAAACCTTAGTGGAGTATTGCTTTCTTGTAGGTGGTGTTCTTTTTCTTGGATTAATGATAGATAGATTGCATCATTACATGAGAGAGTTACGCGTACGAAAGAAGAGCATGGAAGCTATAAAGAAGCAAGGACAGGGTTTTGAAACTGGAAAGGTTGGAGCTTCAGATGAAGTTAAAAAGCTGGAAGATGAAGTTAAGGCACTATTGAAAAGGAAAAACATTTAGAGTCTGAACTTGAAACAACGTCTAAAGAAGTTCGGAGTGAGGAATCGAATTCGGTTGCCCTGCAGAAACAATCTGAAGGGTTTCTTATTGAGTTTAACCGTTTGCTCGAGGAAAACCAAAAACTACGAAATCAGTTGCACAGTTTGGATATGAAAATATCAGGCTCAAGCATCAAGAAGAATACTTGAAGCTATATCCAAACATTTTGAACTTTTCCTTTTGAATTGATTTGTTTTTGAGTTTGTTAACTGGAATCATGGGTTTTGGTTATTGTGTGTATTGTTTAACACGTGAGGTGATTGCAGGGGAAAGAATACAGAACACATATAGCTTTTTTTCTTGTTTGATTGTAGAGATGATCAATTTTATCTTCGCAAATTGTAACGCGTTGCAGTTGGTTACGTTATTAATAGAAAAAAGTTCCTATATGTACATTCGACTAGCTTATCGCTACAAAATTCGCATTGAGCGACTATGATTTTTGCTTGTCTTTTGGACCTGTATCAGAACCGAGGACAGGATCACGTCTTAGTATTCTGTTGCTGTTTGCTGCTGTCAGTAACATGACACCGAGGAAGATCAAAACCGAGATGGATGTGAAGATAATCATCAAGCCAGAAGCGACGTGGTCTTTCACCTCTTGCGCATATTGAACTGAGTCTAAAGCAAGAAAGGTGACAGGGAACGAGTAAGCCCACCATGCGACATTGAATCTTTTCATTGACTTCTTGAAAAGAGTTGGCCTACAGACCTGAAATGTTAAACAACAAAACCAACGTAAATTTTTTTGTAATACGGTTTTATGTTTGGTTCTTTGGTACTGAATCCAAGAATAGCACTTTTCTTGGTGTGTTGTAAACTTACCAGAGACATGAAGATGAAGAGAGAAAGGAAGAAGAACATTTTCGCTACGGTATCAAATGTTCCACAAATACAGTTCCAGGCTAGACTTGCCGTGGCTGGTGCAGCAAAGAACAAGAAGAAAACTGGCCTTAGCGTGGTTGGGAAATTGTTTCCGCCTGGTAGGCGTTGATAAAGAGTGACAAAGATAACCAAATAATGAACCATCCCGAGTGAGAACAAGCACAGAGCACAGTCCCTCCAACCCATCTCCGCTGCTGCTCGTGCAGCCACTAGGTTTGCTATGACTGATACTTGGCTTGCTGGATTTGCCATTATCGACAAAAACCTTTTCTCTGTTGTGAACCACTGGCCATAAAGCTTTGTGTCGAGTGTCAAGACTGGAATAGCGAACAACCAGAANAGTGTTTGGTACAAAACACTATGTGGNTCCATCATTGGAGCTGANTGAAGCAAGAGAAGCCATGAAATGGATGGAGCGTANAGATAGTTCACTCCAATANAGTGCACGAACTCTTCCTTCACCGTGTCAAANAAGAAAATACACTTGAANGCATACAAAAAANAGAGTGACACTTGTGTTGCAAGTGCTAGGTACCACANGAGATGGAACGCCATAGATGGGAGTTGGCTATGCATATGGGACATGCTCGCTGAACCAGGTGCGACCATTATCTTCCACAACAAAGCTTGGCTGCAGAGAGAGAGGCTTATTCTGAAATAGCCCGCATGGAGACTACTCAAAACGGACATCAGGACAACGGGTTTGGCACGACCGAGGTTAGTGTTCCTCTCTTTACTGCTCGATATTGGATTATCGATATTGATATGAATTTCTTGCCTAGGAATTTCCAAGCTTTCCATTTTGGTATATCAATGGATGAGAAAAAAACTTATGGCTTTGTTTGGCTTTATGTTGTTCTAACCTTAGGATAGAGTTCATATATATAGGCAGAGTAATCAACTAGCTAATGAAGATTAGTTTAGTACGAAACCACGTGATTTAGGGAGAGTTAGTTAGTGTTGGACAAAGATGATCTTAAAAGTTAATGGAATCTCATAGGATAGCCACTTGAGTAACTTTTCCCAAGTTCAATAACTTGTACTGTACTTTAAGCCATTGCAACTGATCACTTTATATCAAGGAAATAAGATTTTGATAGCTAATATATTGCGAAATTTTCCATAGTTTTGAATCTTATATATAGTTTTTCTTGCTTTACCTAACAAATACCATTATAAATTGAACATGAGTTATTAGGTTCTTGTGACATAGGTTGTTCTTGTTACCACTATCTCTAAAAGAAAGGCAACTGATGGCAGCGACCCACTAATTATCGAAATTTTTATAAAACTTTCTTTTTTCTATTAGATGTGTTCAAAACTTAAGATTATTGATGTAAAGTTGATAAGCTTCTCCATTAAAAATAGATGTATTAGCCCTTTGTTTGGGGTCAAGGGTCGATTTTTAGGCTTGAGAAAATTAGATCAAAGCATATCTTAAAAAAAAAAAGCATTGTAATTTGTAGTAGTTATAAGTATATCTTAAAAAAAAAAGCATTGTAATTTGTAGTAGTTATAAGCATTCACATTGTTTAGTTTATGATTATTAGAAGTGTCTATATTATCAAGAATGTGTGTTCTCACCTCATACATTTGGGGATTATGTGCTCCTTTTGTAAGAGTTTTTTAGTTGAAAATGTGAAAAAGATTTCAACTCTTTTTTGAAACAGCGACTCACTACGACATTATAATGTGGCGTTTTGTGTGCACGCTTATATTAGCTGTTTTGGATTAGGATACCAAATTGCAAAAACAAAGCAAAAAATATTTATTTTACAGAATAAATGGTTGGAAAATAGCTGTCTCACAATAGCAACGAATAAACGGTCGAAGATTTTTGACCAAATGCAAAAAGTTGATGTTAAGGGAATTATCGTAAACAGGAATATGATTTCTTGACCGTCGAAACCTTGAGTTATATAGAAAATTCTAAAACAATTCGAAGCCACTTGATGGTATACATTGAATATAGTTTATCAATTTTCAGTTTCAAAAAAAAAAAAAAACACAATTCGAAGCCACTTGTATTTATTTATTTTCCATGCAAAAAGATGCAAAGTGGTGGTTTCCATTTTAGTTACAGAAGAATGGAGTACGATCCATGCATATCAGCAATGTCTCTTTTTATGTCTTTTTTGTTAAAACAAATTTTGGCAAAGCATTGTTAAAGTATGGGTTCGAATCTCTTGCTACTCTCTTGGCTAAAAGAGGAATTTTGATTGATGTGTTAATTACTTATGTAAACCACCAAAAGTTCTCGGCTTTTAAAGCGTCTACAGTGGTCAAGAAAAAACCAAAGAACTACAAGACGAGTCCCTCAATCCATTGTGCCTAACCACAGTGACACACACTCTTAATTGGTCTAGATTACACAAGTTGGCATTGGTCTAGATTACACAAGTTGGCATGAGAAGATTTACATAAAGCAGAGAGAAAGGAGAGAGAGTCCTAACACAAGTGAACAACTACAAAGAGATTTCGCTCT